CATTCTTATTCTTCTATTCATTTTCAATCACACATTTTTCAATAAAATAATATTTTTCATCACATCAATAAATTTTCCTTCATTTTCAACCACATATTCTCCATCAATCTACTATTCCATAATACATTCTTTCAAAATAATGCGGCTCAAACACACCCTTAGAGGAGAAAATCTACCTATTGGATGAAGAACCAAACAATCTTTGATGAAATCAAAGATGGAATGGTTGGAGGAGAAAACTTCATTGATGTTGATACCTTGGTGTCCAAAGTAGAGCAACGACAATTTTATTCTCCAAAGAGACTCAACTGATTGAACTGCTTTAGAACACGTGATTTAGATGAAAATGGAGAGCCAAGTCATCATCTTTCACACCCCACCCCCACCAAATCAAAACGTCAACGGTTGCCAGCCATCTGCTACCGCACCGTCCAACAAAATCAGAAATCAAAATCATTCCCTTCAAAACCAGGAAAACAAATCAAAACCAAAAATAAACTCACTCCTCCAACATCAAGACCAGAAATCAAATCAAAATCGCTTTCACATCCCATGCAAACAATTGGAGGTTGTCTCGTGGTGTGCGTCCGAACAGAAACTGAAGAAACTGGAACCTCGTTTTGGGCATGGAATTGGATAGAATTTGAAGCTGTTAAGGTTGATGATATTTAGGAATGAATTGAAATTAATGGCTTTTAAGGAGCCAAAGCCTCCAGATTTGTAAATGAATAAACACACTGATGATTTCAAATTACTGCAATGGTGTTTTTAAATACAGACTCCAAATGCGGTTACTAAACCACTAACTAAGAGCACTAACTAACCACTAAGCCCATTAACAACAGACCCAATCCACAAGACCCAACTAACAGAATACAAATACAAATACATAATTACCCTTAACAATTAAAAGCATCACATTAACGTTCCAGAAGCATCTTCACTTTCCTTCAGCTCCTTTTCTTGCATCCTTGTCTGAATCGTAGCAGAAGCCAAAATTGGAGCAATTTGTGACACAATTGGATCAATTTAGGGTATGCCCATCATCATTTGGCATTGCTGAGGGATTGTAGGTAGCCAATTTGGTAAAAAAAGAGCTCCAGATTCACCAATTGGAAGAATTCCTCAATTCGTGTGCTATTTAAGGCAGAATTACAGTCCAAATTGTGTCGATTAGGGCATCAATTAGAGAAACTGAGTACAGACTAGTGGTCATACGATGCTGCTAATGATTTGCTTGTACCCAATTTTGTGAAAAATCATTCCCAAACTCGTGAATTGAAGGAGACAGAACTGCCTCATTTTTCTTTCGAGGGAGACTTGTATCAACCTGAGTTGTTTTACATGATATCCCACCGTGAATTGGAGCACCTAGGTGAGGTGTGCTAGAATTAAATGTTCCCAATGATCCCTTCTCTACTTTCATGGCATGTGTTCAACAATAACAATAAAACATGCCTCCAATAGCTTGTAGCTAAGCTTCCATTTCCCTGTCTTACTTGCAAAATGAAGAAGAAAGTCGTATGGAGAGGAATACTCTCTATCCCCTCCACAACCCTTGCAACCGAGAACTCTCTGGAAGATTGGAGGAAAAGTGCTGTATCTCATACTATATAGAATTCAATGGGCCAATCCTATATTAAGTGGGGTGAGAGTAGGGCCTCCATATGTGTGTTAATTAAAAATGGCTCATCCCATTATGGGCCCAATTGCCAAATGTAAATGCTAGTCCATACAAAAGAAAAACAATCCAACAATCTCCCACTTGGATAGCATTACATTTGATCACAATATAAACACAAATCAAACATCCTGAAACTAAAAGGCATTGTTCAAAATGTATCTTCAAATTCAAGCCACTGAATGATATACCGACAGGATATAC